ACCCCCAGCACCTGCTGAACCCTGCAGTTTTTCAGCAGCACAAAGTTTTACAAGTCATGATTACCAAGCATAGAGAGAAGATCAAGCCGAACAGGCCCTGCTCCTGGGGCTTTCAAAAGATATGTGGCACAAGGTTGATACTGAGTGAAGACCTTCAGAGCACTACTCTATAAACAACTTCTGCATGATGCCTGCACAATCTTATCTACAGTATCCAATGATTATCTATCATCTACTGCATCTGTTGAAAGGACCATAAAACCCCTGACTAAAGACTCTTCTCCAAGGCCAGAGACATTTTCCCAGGGATGCAGGAAAGTCTCTCAAGCTTGTGTTTCCCAGGATTTCCAGGTGGGACTCCTAAGGCTCTCAGCCAGCACTGAATAAAGGTGTTCCTTGCTCTTCTGGTCTATGCAAAGCTACTCTGATGGGGAACAAGATAGTGAACTACCATCTAAAGCTAAGGACAGAAACAGAAGAGCAGCAGCAGGCAATACAAACAAAAATCCACATAGCTAGAGACCATTGAGTGTTGAAAAAATATCAGCCTTTTGTGCTGGACTAAGTGCAAGGTCAGTACATTGATTGAAGGTTCACCACTTGCCCCCTATCCCATGAGGAAGTATTGGGGTGGAGACCTGTGAACTTAGGACCTGTATCACCAGTGATTAGACAATGCTAACCCTTAGCTGAAGGAGCCTGGCCTTTGGCCAGGACATGCAGACCAATACTACCAGTCCTACAGAAGTGGGATTTTTAATGTCTATGGTTATAATAAATGTATGACTAGAGCAGATGGGAGTTACAGCAAGAAGGATCTACATGCAGAACCAAGTGCATCCTTATTGTATTTGGTATAGTCTGTCCAGACATGTTAGGCAGTGAAATCCCTCCTGAGCCACACAAGGTTGTGCCTCCAGGTTCATAGGAGGATAGTGGTGGTTCTGGGAGAACATACCATGTTGTTATGCCTGCCCCAGGAATCTGCCTTGTTCTTGGGGGAACTGGGGGAACACATTCCCATCAGGACTGCATGCAGACCCTCATCACATGATCTGGCAAGTTAATAATCAGATGGGAGTTAGCTCATATCCATTTTTCTCCACTGACTGCAGGAAATGTGAAAGATGAGATAGGGTAGAGCAGGCAGCTACAAGTGTATTCTGATCTGACTTATACGTCCCTTGTTATTCCACTGAGTTCAGCATAAAATGCCCAGGGTATGTCTAGAGGCAGACACACTTCTGTCTGCTGTTTGAGCTGGCTGATGAGAACCAGTCTGTTTTTCCTGGTTGTAAGTGCAGGTATAGGTCCCAAGTCATAATCTGTCCTGCACCAACTTTCCACTAAAATGAGAAGAGAAAAAGCTGTTTACGAATGAAAAGGACTGTTGTTTTACCCTCAGAAGGTCCTTTAGTGCTGGCAGAAAGGCTATGACTGTGCAACAGCAGGAGGAACCCCACAAGAACCTCCTCCCAGCAAGGACACTGCAAGTCCTGAGAACTGATCCTACGACACCATGTTGAGTTAGACCAGTTTTCCCTAGGCTGTGGTAACAGAGGCAATCTATGCATTTAAATTCCTAATTCAGCCTTGAAATTTCTTATGGTCCCGCTCCCTTTTAATGTAATGTTGGAACTCGCACCAATCAAGCTATCTCTTACATCTTGAGAACAGGCTTTACTTCCCAAGATTAAGTTGTTGACACAAGAGTTTTGAGCAGTTACCAGAACACAATGATCAAATCCTGTTTTTACAGGCTTGATGTCAAAGATTAAAAACTGATTTTATTGGGTAGCACAAAACATGGTAACACATGCAGTATATATACAATTAGACAATATAAAACACTCCTTTGAAAGGTTTTTCCCTAGCATTCATCTTCACAAACAGTTGCACAACTGTTACATAGCCTCAGAAGCTTTTGCTTGAAGAGCAGGCAAAGAATTTCATCTTGCAGTTGCACTTAGATTTTCCCATTTGGATTTATGGCTAGCAAGAGACAAACCTGCTATCCCACTTAGTGCTATGCACATTTGGCACTTCTGAAAACTGAAACTGGGGGGGGGGCTGATCACTGCCTGGTAACGGAGGGGATGGTAGAGTTAAACATGCAGTTTTGGAAGCCCTCTCAGACAGAGCCAGTGACAGATGGTTACAGAAAACTCAAGTATTAAATAGCATTTTTCTGTAGACATTAAATTATAAAAAAGACAAGAGCAGCCCAAAACTTCTACACTTTGTTGGAAATAAATTCAAGCCTGGAAATACCAAATTCTCTTCTCTGCTGCAACTGTTTAGACTTGCTCATTGCTTAAAGGAATAAGTTTATACCAAAGCAGCAAAGAAGAAGAAAAAACAATCTTGCTAAATATTCAAAACTTGTTTCTGAACAGACAGTGTGCCATTTTTGGTCAGCTCTGCTTTCCATGCATATTTGCCACTGCCAGGAAAATACCTGAGAAGGCGCTGTGCCTTCCACACTTTGGATGATGTTTAATGTAAAAACCCTAAAAGAGCGACCTAGTGACAGATTTTCAGTGGCTGGACTTGACCCTAAGAAACTGGATATTATTTGTATCTATAACTTGTTAAGCTCTGCCCTTGCAAATAAAATTTCTGCTTTTTTGTGGCTTCAATAAGCAAGACAATAATGTATGAAATTTTACTTTGAAATTTTAGAGAAAACAACACTCTTATTTTGCTTTTTAACAAGACCAAAAAGTAAGCATGAGAATTACAAAACCACTTCAAAGAGGCAGCTGCAAGCACCATGTCTGTCACTGCTGAGAAGCAGAAATCCTGGACCAGCAGAACTTCCAGCCTAAAATCTTCTAAAAGATAATAACTTGCCCTAAAGGAAATCACTTGCCATAGGGACAGACTTCAATACAGTGGAAGAGGAAGTGAATTGCCAATCTCTGTTCTGCACCTTTGCAAAAGCCAAACATTCTACCAGGTCTGCATCATTTGCCTCATATATGCCATCACTGACTTCACTTGCGTGAGGTATAATTTGTCTGCTAAATAAAGCAGGGCAGTGATTTTTGATCTTCTATTTTTCGTGATTTGCAAACCTATACATTTTCTACTACATCCCTGCGTAGCAAAAGCAATACTCTTCACAACAGCTATGCTTCATTTTTTTTCAAACACCTGTAACTAGTGCATGGTCCTTGGTTTGATAAAGACTGCTGTATTCTGATTGCCAGTGTGGGAAAATTTTAAAGCAGAAGGCTACTTAAATAGGACATCCTAAGGGGGTCAACTGTCCTCTCAAGCTCATGTATCTTCCCCTGCTTCAGATGTACTGAAACCTCTCTGTACTTGAATATTTCTAAAATTAATTTTTTCTGTTGGTTTCACTTCATATTGGCAAAAGAATATGTCTTAACTGCTAGATTTTATTTAACCAAATATTCTAATTCTTCACTTAGGGGCAGTTATAACAGCTTTGAAATGTATTTTTACTATCTCCATCCAAGTAGAACTTCTCACTAACTTTTCTGAAACTGAGAAAGTTCTCAATTAAGTAGACTCTGATGGCCCTTTTCTGTGCTGCACAAGCCTTTATGGGCAGATTAGGATGTGACAAGTGCTCTTTATTCAAACTTCAGTGAGGCAAGAAGTATTTCATCTGAATTCTGTGACAAAACCTATGTTTTAAGGCTAACTTTCTGCATAAGCACATGAACAAGTAACCAGAAGTTAAGGAGATGCAAGGCCTCATCTCATATATACTGACTTTTTGTATATGTTTCTTTTCTGCGCGGTAAAAGTGAGGCCTTTTGAGGTAGTCAACTCTCACCTACTGTGCGAAGTTGTGGTTTTTTGTTTGTGACCTGACCTGAATGTTTCATCAAATACACAGTCTTTGCTGTTATGTTGCTGAGGTGGCTGATGTCAGCAAAGAGAGCAGTAGGGGATTTGTTTGTGTGACAAAGTTGCTCTTCTTATGGAAAACAATCTGGCTGTTTTCACTGGCATTACCCTTCCCTCTACAAGCATTTTAAAGGCACAGTTCAAACTGTGCCAGTTGTGAAAAGGGGAGAGTAAAAAAACACCCCTGCAATTTCAGTGAACTTTGCTGTTACATAAAGTGCAGCTGCAAGGACAGCCAGAGATGTTCTGTAGCCCATGATCTGGGGCTACCACATGCTTGTGCACATGCTTTGCAAAGCACAGAAGCTCAAACTCTTCTTGGTTAATTTCCTAACTGGCTGTCAGTAGCGGCCCTGTTGTTACATTCATGAGTGTGTCCTCCTGTAATACAAAAACACAGAAGGCTGTAACTAGCATTTCAGCTTTCTCCTGGCCACCCAAAGCCAAGCCTCAGGTCACTTACAGTCTGATGGGGATGGTAGAGTTAAACATGCAGTTTTGGAAGCCCTCTCAGACAGAGCCAGTGACAGATGGTTACAGAAAACTCAAGTATTAAATAGCATTTTTCTGTAGACATTAAATTATAAAAAAGACAAGAGCAGCCCAAAACTTCTACACTTTGTTGGAAATAAATTCAAGCCTGGAAATATCAAATTCTGGGGATGCGACATTAGCTGTAAGGACTGTAGAAGGGCAGGCTAGGTGACAGCAATGGAGAAAAAGAGAGGCTTTCAGGATTACAGCCTCCACCACAAAGAGGCAGTGGCCGACAGCCCCAGTGCAAACAGGTGACTTGGGCAAAAGCAGAAAGCAGAAAACGCAGGAAGTCTGGAGGCTAGAGCTTCCTGTGCCTTCTTCCCCTTTGAGGACGAGCTGCTACCCCTTCCCCTGCCTGTCTGAGGGGAATAGCTATGGCATCCAAATAACAGCCACAAATGCAGAGAGCGCTGGGTGGAAACCCCTCTGTGAGAGGGTGAAGAGCCTCATACATCTGAAGACATGGCAAGTGCTCTGAAATAACCCACTGGAGCATGTGTGACTAACCAGCAGGGAAGCAGGGATCCTCCACTTCATACTCTGGACACCTCTGGTTGCTGTGTGCTTTTCCATCAAACCATTATGTCAAGACAGCCTGGCAGCTGAGGCCGGCAGTTCACTCTCAGATAGGTCCTCCTTCTGCCTTTGCTGCCATCCTCACTCATACAGTGAAGCGAGTTCTTGCTGCCGTTTGTGACCTCTATAAATCTTTGATTGTCCTGGCCATTAGCTCAGTGTAAAATAGGGAATAATAAACACTTATGCCCATAATTCCTAGTTACCAAGCTGAATCCCAGTCCTACAGCAGCCTCTTAGAATTGTACTACTTGAGTTGTCAGTTGTGGCTGTTTGATAACGCTGTCTTTTGAGCTCTGAAGAGTTAATAGGGGCAGTTGCTTCTAACTTGCATTCTTAACTTGCTTCATCAGCTCCTTTCAGTACTCCCTCCTCAGCTTGGGAGGAGTTTATTTTTCTGGGGAGTTGTCATTTGCAGGGAGGATACACCACTCTGTTACCAAGCCAGGCACCACTCTTCAGAGTCACTTGAAAGCTTCAACATACTCCACAGGAAGAGAGGACAGGCCTGCCTTCCCCCAGTAGTCAATGGCACGCACTCTGTAAAAGCCAGAGACTGAGCTTCCTGCAAATGAAAAGGTTAGAAATGGTCACTGTGAAAGGCCTGTGGTGCTTGGAGGATGTGGAACAGGCACAACTCCTATAAAATGTAGGTTTGTGGAATGGGCTGGGGAAGTGGTGAAATCAGTTCTGCACTCTATGTAAGTGTGTCTGTACCTGTCTAACTAAAAATGATTATAAACTCATGGCCAAGTACTGGCTCTTTTTCTTTGTTGGACCAAGAACCTCCTCTCTCCTCATTAGGATTTGCAAGTACAGCTACAGGACTGCTGTCCCAGCAGCCCCTTTGGAAGAAGGCTACAACATCTGCTGCAGCCCACAACTAGAAATTTCCTTTTTTCTGACTTACTTTTCTGCCTGAATTATGCCTTTGGAACAGGTTATGTGGGGACAGGATCAACAAAGAAGCAGAACAAGAAACATGCAGGCTGACTGAAAACCCTCTGCTCAACTCAGGAAGCAGCACCACTTGCTCCAAAGGTATGTGAGTTGATGTTCTGTGGCTCTGTTGGTTTTCATCCTTGATCCGGTTCAAAGAACACAGCCTTCACTAGCAGAGTCTTTAACCTCACAAGCAATATAAATGGTTTTTTTTTCTCATTTATTTACTTGATTTTTATGTGTGCTTTAGTATTTAATTTTCTTTTCTAAAGAGTAAGAATGCTAGAAATAATAAATGAGAAGGAAGTACCTAGCAATAAAGGCTGCTGAGATGTGAGATTTTTTCAAGCAGTCTTTTCTTTTTTGCTTTTGAAACAAACAATTAAATCTGGTAGGTTCCCCAGATGTGCAGCACTAGATGATAATGAATCCTAATTTCAAAGATTTGCCTTAGCCATGATTTACAGTCTTTGCTTACCTGTGTAGCCTTCACATTGCAATAATAGCTCTGAACTTTATCATGCACCTACTGCTGATGCTAAGCCTTTCCCAGGCTAAGACGAGCTTGTGTTTCTGATGAAAACCTCTCTGAATGGCTCTTTATTAGCATCAGTTTGAGGCAAGGTCTGTCTGTGTTTCACACAGCTCTGATCAGTGCTTATTAGTAATACTTGTTGGACAGTCACATTGAGGATTAGACCAGATTTGGTTAAAAAAGCCCCCCAAGAAACAACCCCCTCTCCTCCCCAAAACATCACTACTTTCTTTCAGTGTTTTTCATCTGGGTATGTTTCTATTGTCTCTAGGCTGTACTTGAGAAGAAATGGCCACAGGCTCTGGGAGAAGCTTTGCCTGTTGACAAAGACGAAACTCGATGCCCTCTAATGTGAAACATGTAAGACTTAGGCAGCCAGTCAGGGCTAAAGAGAAAGCTCTAGGAAACAGCAAAAAGAGGGCTCTGTCCTTGGCTAGGTGTTCAGATAGCCAGGACAAACTGTCCTACAGGAGGACCTCTTCTGTTCTTACAAGGGAGCACCTCAGTAGCTTAAGATTGCCAAGCCATAAAAGGGTATGACAGGGACAGGTGACCACAGTGAGAGCAGAATTGCAACCTTCCCCTGGAGCAGCTCAGAACATGCTAAATGCAAGCCAACCAACCCCTCCATGGAAGGTGGACATGACCTCCCACTTATTTGCGTGTTGATGCCATATCCTTAGGCAGTGTAGTACCTCAAGACTCAGTGGTACAAAACAAGTGTTACCAAGGCAGTTTGCTCCTACTTCCCTACCCCAAAAGCATTGTACAAATTTAGGCAGAGGCATGGCCAACACCTGTGGGACTAAGCCCAAACCTTAGACTTCCCTTGCTGTGAGCCCACTACCAAGAGCACAACATCAAGCTCTGGTCACATGGAATAATTTCTTTTGTTCTCATTTTTGCATGCTTCTACATCAGCTACAAGTAGAGACAAAAGTGCTGCTTTGCCTCTCAGGGAGCTTGCCAGGCCCGCAGCTGGGTGATTTTGGTTTCTGTGGCAAGGTATTTACTCATGGCAATACTAAGAATGTCCTCATGACTATCTGTCCATTAGTGCTTGTCCTTGAGAACAAGGCTTTCACTGAGAACATGGTCCTAAAGGAAGGGACCTGCTCTTATTTGTGATGGCAGTGTATGTCACTAGCAAGCTATGTACCTTCAGTAGTTATTAAATGATGTTTCACATACTCATGAGTGGCACTACTAACATGACAAATTACATAATATGCATATTCTTGCCATACCTGGACTGTAGACCCAGAGAGTGAATATTGTGTCTTTGACATTAATCCGCTGGTATGCTTTTCCATCTGGTGAGAACTCCACTTCAAATGTCTTTATACATCTAGAAAAGAAAACCAGATAGCTCAGTAAATACAACTGATAATGCAGTGAGCAATCAAATCCTAATCTCAGGGCCATTTCAAGAAGGCCAAAACCAGGAAATATTCGGTTGATTCATTCCTACCAAATGTGGGATAGCATGCATTGTCAGTATTAGGAAGAACCACAGCTCCAACAGCCCACAGAAGAACACCCAGACTGACTTGCTATATTGGGTATTTGCAGCATCACAAGCTGTTAAGCATCTTTTACTCCCAAACCAGGGTTTTCAAGGCTGAAGCCTCTATTAAGACTGGCCTGAAAAGAAGCTAAGTCAGTGCTTCCTGAGGGAGTCTGGATGTACACTGGGTCACCTCTGACAGTTCAGGTACAAAGGGTTTCCAGTCTAGTACAGCTTACTGGAGCAAGGAACTGGAGGTTTTCTCTTCCAGCTCACACCCCTTACAGGTATGTGCAAGATCCCACTTAGGCACTTGCTGCTAATACAACTTTTATCACGGAACTTCCTGTCTGCTATGCTGAAGGCAAGTCCCTCAAAAAGCTATTGGATGGTGGTGAGCAACAGGCAGATTCCCTTGCTCAGACCACAAATTAGTCAGCGTTGCTCTTCATAGTTACTGCATGTAGGTCCTACAGTTCATTTTGTCAGACAAATGCACTGTAAAATCTCTAAAGGAGCAAGTAGTCATTAATTTGTGAACTCGTTTCACTTTCTAGGACTGGTGGCAGCTTAGGGAGTAATGTTATGGTAACTTGATATCAATTTTATTTTAAAAGCTACTTACTTTGAATTTACACAGCCATCGTCCCACAACACAATGACCTGCCCCTTTGTGAGAGGGATCAAACGAACACTGGTCACCTGTCCAAAGACACAAGCCCATGTAAGAAAACTGTACAAACCAATCAGCCAGGTCAGATTTCTGTGTTCATCCTTCCTTACTAATTATTTGCTTTGATTTTTTCCATTGAGACTGGAGAAGAAGCCTAAATTCCTGGCTCTGTGGCTTTGCAGCCTATGTCTCCAACCTGTCAATCTTGCACAGTACCTTCAGAGGTTCTGGGCACCACTATGAACATGAGTGGGACTGAATGAGCAGATACCGATGTCTAATCTATGACAGCCATGATTCCATTTTATTTTTAGCTATCAATTATTAACTGGAGACCTGCTATCAAGCCTGGTACCACATGATGCGATTTTAAAAAAGATACTGCACTTTCCAGTACTACATTATTATTTTCCCACTATGGATAAACTTGCATTTATGTCAGTGATGGCTCCTATCACCTGCTGTGGAATGCTTTATCTTGAATTATGCCTTGGACAGTGTTCTCATCAAAGGATAGAAGAATTGTTTATTTACTGAGTCTTTTAACAAATAATAGGCCCAAATGATAGTCCAGCTCTTCTTAGTGAGACTTAAAGCAAGAAGCAGTTTCTACTCTGGTGAAATGTGACAGTAGAATACAACACATACTTGATCAGGAACAGATCTGGGTCTTGCACAGATGTGGATCAGAAAGACTGAGGGCACAGGAAAGTCTTGCTTCAGTGTCAGGATGCCACCTTCAGGAAACGGGAATGGGCCTGTTGCCACCGGGTCCTGTGGAGCCAAAAGAGAAGTGCTGTGAATAATCTTGCATTACAGCACCTGAAGGCCAACTGTTACATCAGTGTAAATTGACTGTGTATTTACTTTGGGACTGTAAAATTCCAGTAGAGCTGGTGCTGATAAGTGGCTTACAGCCATCAAAGTTCTTCAAGCTGAGAGACTTCTATCTTGCCTGTTTTCCAGCTCCTCATGAAATGGAGGGTTTGTCCATCTCACAAACTGGGTTGATCACAAACGCCCTTTAGGCACAATCTGTCACTTTTAGTAACCTCCAGTGGGTGCCTTTCAGGCTAGTGGTCTTTACAAACCACACCCCTGTCTCTTAGCTATGGATTCGCAGCGTGCAGTGAAAGCTATTGCTAGCTACAACAGCCACTCAGCTAGTCTGTGAGGATGAGGTTTCACCAGATGGCCAAAACTATCTAAAACCCTGCTGCTGCCCTTTGAAGATCTGATGACTCCTGTAGTATCCCAGCGGCCTTAGCAATAGTGGGTTATGGTGACTGGGAAAGGAACACATAGTACTGTACACCAAAGTCAGAAGGCAATCACCATCTATGGGCCCTGAAGGGGACAAAGGTGGCCTCCTTTATTTTAACCCGTGGGTCTGAATGCATAGGGAAGCTATGGGAGAGGGAGCTAAAGTGGGGAGAGGAGACGTACTCCTCAGTCCACTCTGGGGTGCATTCAGAACTGGTGAGGATGAGGGGAAACTGCAGGCCTCCCTGTGAGCCCCTGAGAGATGTCAAGCATCTTCTGAACTTGCACCAGGTAGTTTCCACCTCAGGGAGCTGTTTGTTTTCTGTTATTGAAAGGGATTCATTTCAACTCTCTAACACAGCAATTTGGCCCTTCTGTAACATAGAGGGCAATGTGTCTTATTTGGGGAGACGGAACAGAAAGGGTCTCCAAGCTCACTGAAGTTTCAGAGAGAAAGTGGAACCTACTCTGGAGCAACTCTGCCTCTTTAGTTAAGGGTAGGCTAGCAGCAAAGAAGCTGGTCATCTACATTTAGTCTCTTGTATAACATAAATGCGAAGGTATCAGTTGTGTATCAGCTACATTTCTCTGCATGACTTCAAGTGCATTTTCACATGCATACAGGATGTGCATGACGGTGGGCTAAGGAAATTTTGACTACCTGAGCTGATTTCTTGTCTCTTTAGCTGTAGTTAACCAATTCACAAGCACTCTAGCCATACAACACTTCAAGCAAACACATGGTCATACCTCAGCATCCCTTATTTGCTGGAACTGTTCTGGGGAAGGAAAGTCAGGGCTTCCTAGCTTTTTCCACTTCAGGTAGGGATTGGTTTGGTTGTTATCCAGGTAATATGTCACATACACCAGCTCTTTAGGAACACAAATGAAAGAGAGTAAACTCTTTACTTGGATTTAAAGATGAACAAGAATAAGTTTAGCAGAAGCTGTTTAAGTCTACCTTCTCAAAAGTGATTTCAGCACTTCGGCGCCTGCTTCCACTGGAAAGTCATGAGGCTAGCACTCTTACAAGGCTCTACAATTTTATTTGCCAAGTTTAAATTTCAAGCTATTACTTCCATAACCTGAATTGAAACCCTCTTATTTATTGCACAGGTGCTGCATGCATTTATTGGACAACTGCATCAACTGTGTAATGATGTGGTCATGCTGGCTGTCTTGGAGTCATCCCAGTAAGGGAATTGTTGCCTGGTAATATCCAGCCAAGAACACTGAGATCAATAGCTTTCCAAAAAGGTAGCACTTGCAGCTGCCATTAAAGGCAGGGTCAAAGTGCAGACATTAGGCAAGAACCCTTTCCTAGAAGAGCATCATCATATCTCAGAAAATCTGGGTGTGCCCAAAAGATGAGAAAGTTAGCAAATGAAACTCACTCTTGCAATGAAAGGCAACTTAGCAGAAGTGTTTCCGTAGATGTTCTATCCTAAAGATCAATTATGTGAGCTGCCTACATGATGTTTGTTTACCTCTAAGTTTGGGGAAGTGGGTGGCGTTCACTGTGACGGTGCTGATGTTGGATGAAGTCCTGTTATCCTCACTTGAATACATCAGTAGAGTAGCTTGCCAGCTGTCTGAGGGTTGCATCTTACTTGGGGTGTGCACAGATGCCAGGACACCAATTGTGCTGTTTTGAGTGCTTTCACCTTCACTGCTGTTCACTTCTGCAAAAATCTGCTTTTCTCCTTTAAAAAATGTGACAACTCTGTAAGCATCACTGCTAGTCAGTCCTGTACCAGCTTCTGATACAGGAAGGGTCAAAACATGGGGATCTATAGGTTGACCTATATTCTAGCTTATTTTACCAGGCATAGCATTCAGTCAGGCTTATTTTACAACAGCAGAGCATGCACTTACTACAGCAGTTCTTCTGCTTAGAAGTTCAGCTAGCAAGATCTAAGCATGTAACAGTGAATTAGAATCTTCCTTTATTATGCTGCATGGGTCTTCCAGCTGTGGTGATTTCTTAAAGACATTTACAGCCTCATGTGATGGCACAAGAGGGAGGGAAGTACCAGTCAACAAAAAGGGAGTGGCTGGCATACAGAGGGTATAAACAAAGCAGTAAATTAAATCAAATGGATAACAGACTGTCAGGAACTGAGCTATTAATTTCTCAGAGGAAATGAAGTTTCAATTTAACGCAGCTGATAAACAGAGGGTAGGAGAAACCTGCTTTTATCAATGGTGAGATGGCTGGAATAATCTCTCCGGGGCAGGAAGCTCCTAGGTAGAAAAGGTTATTGATGTGCTCTTTAATCAGTGGGTACTATACCTAGCAGTGCCAGCAAGCCCATGACAGTCAGCACTGGTTTCCGCACCATCTGGACATGAGGTGGCTTTGTATTGTTCATCTGAAAACGTGCTGTCAGAGTCCGCTGTGTGAAGTAATGGGGGTAGTAGCTCAAGAAGGCATTGTCATTACTTAGCAGTGTGTAGTTGATGGTGTTGTTGGCCTTGGCAATGAGCAGGTTTTGATGCTGGATGATTACCTGCAAAGTCATAGAGAAGATGGAACTTCACACTGGAGAAAATCCAACAAATACACAATGGCTGCATTTTCTTTAAAACTTTACACAACATTGAAAAGAGGTGTCACTCTGCCATTTAGAAAAGTTTGAAAAACTAAACTGTTCCTCACAACTCTTGGAAAAACTAATCTTTAAGTGATACATTAACCACTGGAAAATTTGAAGTACCCACATAGTTTTGCCAGTAAAAAGTCTCTGAAATAACTACTACTAGTACTCTGCATAAATTATGAATATATTTCCTTAGATACTGCACTACAAATGATGCTCCTCTGTCTTGAATATTAAATTAGTAATCTGGATTTATCATCTGAATTAAATCTAAATGATTCTCCAATTCTGGAGTTACTTTGTACCCATTACACAAGTGTCTGGGAGCTGGTCCTGGATTCTCTTCCACAATGACTCATTTCATCACTTGGTGCTAACATGGAATTAGTTTTCCCAGTATTTCACCAGCTGTGCTGCTTTCCCACAAAATGTCGGAGCTCCCAAGCTCTGCTTACCAGATTGTGCCTAAATATCAGAATCAAACAGAACTTCAGAAGGCTGACAACTAAACAGGTCTCATAATTCCATCCCTGAAGGAACACAGGGCTCCAGCTCCTATCCACCCAAGTATTAATTTTCCATTGGATGTGTCTTTTTTTTCTCCCTTCATATCACCATGTCATTATAAACACTGTTGTTTGTTCTCACAAACTCCCTGCAATGCAGTCAGTGACTTGTTGCTTTGGAGAAGACTGCTTCTGTCCGCAGCCTAAAGGAGCTGGGAGCCTTTGTCTCCACAGGAGCAGCTGATAAGATGTATCTTGTTTCTGGGTGATATACATGCCCCCAGGTTTGGGAATTACTACTTTGCACATGAGTGCTTGGACTCTGGATGCTGTATAAGGTAGCAGCTCACAAAGCAACAGGCCTGCAGTGGGAATTATTGTTATGCAGCAGCAAGAGCTGAGCTTGCTCTGGGGCCAGGCTACAACTCCTGCAGGGGCAGGAATGCTGAGCATTGTCTTCTCCTTCTGCTTTTCTGATCAACAGCAGTAATTACTAGCAGTAACTAATAAGACCATGTTTACAGTCATTATCCAAAACCAAAGAATGGGCTTAAGCTGAGAGCTTAAGGTACTTCTTAAGCTGGTGTCTCTTGATGAGATAAACTTATGAAGGAGTTGGGAAATAATGTCTCACATAAGTGAGGTGATAGCTAGCAGTAGTGAGATAATAGTAGTAGTATTACATGAAGAGAGGATGTGTGCGTATAGTCTTATCAGGTGGATCTAACTGGGGGACTGTATTCAGTATCTGACACATTCTCCAACACATGGAAGGCTAGTTCTCAGTTGTTTTTTATTAAAGGGAAGACGAAGAAAATTAATACAAACTAAATAAAGCTACAGAAAACAGACTATTCAGGGAAACTCCAGCTGTATCCACAGGGAGCTCTCCTTTTGTTGGATCTATTGTTCTGAGTAGCTGCTTAAGAATTTACTTTAAGTCTACTTTTGCAACGGTGTTAACGCATCAGGAGACCCTGCTGTGACAAGTCTGTCAATGAACTGAGTTACCTTTAAAACCATAGCTGCATAGGTCACATCAGCTCGCCACAGTTGTGGAATGGACCATCCAACCATTGGATCTGCTTCATCGTTGTATATGGCAACAGAAGCAAAATTTGGAAACAGCTTCTGAATTTGTTCAACTGCTTCTACTTCCTGTTGCAAGATGTAGAGAGAACTCCCACCTCCCTGCAACAATATTTCATATCTGCTTAGTGAAAGTGAGCAAACAGTAGTAAACACACAGACATAACATACAGACAAACATATTCTGAAAACACGTTCCTGGAGTCCCTGAGGAGCTGTGGGCCAGACAGTATTATTATTTTTACCTAATCCATTACAGCAAATGCTGTTTGCATGAGCTTCTCCTAGAATATAAAATGGAAAAGAGGTGGAGGAGTTGTTTCCCCCTGGGAATTAGGCAAAGGCAAATTTGCTTTGAGGTGAGGTCTTGCAGCTGAACATCTTCAAAGTTTCATTAGAACAGGTAGCCATTCTTCCTGCTATAGGCGGACACTCATCTGGAAATCAACTTCATAAATGAGAATAAAATGTAACATGGATTGAACTGATTAAAAAAATAGCGTTAAACTGAAATCTTGGACTGACCTTCTTATGGAGAGCGATGTAGTCCAGCCTTACACCAGTCTCCCCTGTGAAGAAGTTGGTTCCATTGTAGCAATGACACAGAAGACTCCAGCACATGGGTGACTTGGGTAAGGCGTGGAAGGAATCCCCAGGCCCTCCAAATTTTAGTAGAGGACTGGCTGCTCTTAATCCTTCTGAGCAAGCATCATAATAGTTGAGAAACCCTGAAGTGCAAGCAGATGTATATATCAAAGATGATAACTCAAAACAGAATCTTGATATAAAACTTCAGGGAGACTTTATTTATAAATTTATTATTATAACTTTATTATTGCCTTTATTGGCAAGACCTCACAAACTGGGCCTACTCTTTCCTGTGCACTGTCAACACAAGATGTCAAAACCTGAGCTGCATTCACAAAAGGTCTTGTGAGGACAAGTTCCCAAGGCATGCATATGTCAATGAACAGTTTTCCTTTTACTCCACCTTTACCACCTTAACCCCAGTAACCTTAATTTATATCCAAATAATGAACTGCATCTTAGTGTAAATCCTGTTCTGTTTTCCCTGTTCTACTATCCCTGTATTTACACTGATGTCCAAGCAGGGAACAAAGTGTAGTGAGTAACGTGACCTTAGCAAAACAGACTAGGTATACCTTCCACATTCCTTACCTCTCCTATCTACCTTATTTCTTTGCCAATATCTCTCCTTTCTCATTGTCACCCCTCAACCCACCCCCCGCGCCTGTTTCACTTTACTACACTAGTAAGTGCTCCAAAACATGCTTACCGTTCACTGTCATAGACACATTGTCAAAGTCATGGTGGTCTGGTTCATTCCATGTTTCAAAATTCCATTTAGCAACATGCTCCAATCCGTACCTATCTGTAGAAGAGGCCTCATTTATCAGTGAACTGCATATTCAGACAATCCTATCAATTAGTCACTGATCCAGGCAATCCTATCAATCAGGGCTGCAGGTGAGGTTCAGCACCCAGAGCTACAACAGGTTATAAATATTACCTATTTTTAATAATGAGGGAAATGTGGTTTTGGTAGTTTCAGAATGATCTCTCATTTTCAATGAAATGCGGCAACATTTGAAAAAGATGAAACGTGAGAGGGAGGTGACGTGAATTACAGCCTTGTTTCTAGGGCACTCACCTAGTCTTAATTAAGGTTGAGGCTTCTGTTTCATTAGAGGTATTTGAAGCTGGCATGTGGGAAGTGTTCAGGTTATCATGTCCTAGTACAAACTAGTGGTTTACAACCACAACAACATAATGAAGCTAAAAGTCAGTCCTCAGAGGCAGGCCAAATGTGCTACCCAGAACACACTACTCATTCAGGATGTTGGTCATGGATCAGCAAAAACAAGGGGCTATTATCCCAAAGTCTGTTCTGGCATGGTTTTTTTCCTGTTCTGTGCTGAAATCCAGGGTCTTGAAATTGATCACAATACACAGAAATTTTTGAGGTAGTTAGAAGGGATTACAACAGAGTAAGCATTTTTTCTCTCTCTCTCTTTTTTTTTTTTTTCAGCAGGGGAACTTACCTATGTATCTGCTGGCCAGAAGTGTAATTAAGTTTCTCCATCTTACTACCTGTTCTTTATCTTCAAAATCTAAAAAATATCCTGATGGATTTCCCATCAATTCAAATCCTAAAAAAGACACAAAAGATTGGTCTCCTTTTTTTTGTGAATGCTATCTCCTTTTGGTTAATGAAGGTGTTATTGCATTATCTGAAACAAACTTGTTAATGAAGAAGCATCATTAAATGGTCTTTCTTTCCTGTTTCTAAATGTCCTCACCAGGAATATTTCAGATTTGAGGTTGCTCACATTTGTTACTTGTCAATGACTACAGTAATCAAAACTAATACTTAGCATCATAAATTCAGGGCTCAGAGGGAACTTTAAACAGTGCATGTTTGCAGAAATTCAAGGGAAGCTATACCTTGAGTATCTGCTTCTCTGGCCCTTTTAGGTACAAGTTAATGGGTACAAAGTTTTCTCCTCTTCAAGAGATCTCATTTCCCAATTCATACATCTCAAACTGTTGTTGAAAGCAATGTAAAACCATTTGTGTTGTCTTAACTGCCATAATAGTATTTTGCTCACACTGTTTACATTTACATAAACATGAGGTAAAGGCAAGTAGGAAAATAATGAATTTTCATCAAAAGCAGCTTTGGCAAAGCTCTCTAAGAATTTCCTGATGGTTGCACAACATGGGCAAACAGATGTAGCAAGTTGTGGAGGTATGGAGCTGCCCTTACCTGGAATTAGCTTATTTTCCCACAGGCGATCCATAAGGTTATCCAAGGCAGTAAAATTGTAGTGAAGTTTCCCATTCACCACTCTGAAGAATACAGATAATAAAAAGTACAAATGTAAATATTATAGCAAAGGTGGCACTTGGTTGCAGATAATGGGTCAGATGTCTGCCTTCTTTTGGCTCTCAAAATTTTCATATAACTAGGGTTCTTGGAACTGTACACAAACTTCCTTCCTCTAAAGTAATGGGTGTTTACCATAAGCAAGTCCTGTTTCTTGTCCAATCCATGCCCTTTTCCTATTCCAGCAGCAGCAACAGAAGCAACATAATGAACTTGCTTGCTGGATTTTGAGTTTTTAACAGGATATTAAGATTTCTAACTCTTTGCTGAAGTGAAATTTACCTAGACTTTTTTTGGCTAAGCTGTTTTTTCAGTTTCCATTTGATTACCTACTGCTAGGGCAGCTGGTTTCCAACTTAACTCATATACAGTCTTTCTTAATGTTCTCTTAATTTGCAATATTAATACAGTTTTCTTAATAGAGCTTCTTATGGGTCTAGGTCCAGCTGAGAAATAAATTTGTAGCTTTCAAAGAATGCTGAATTTATGTACAAAATGCCTGTAATTTTTACTTCATTGTTAGCATTTGCTTACTATTTCTCCTCTACTCCCAGGATCTCAGGCTGCACTCCTTTTACCCAGCTTTGAATACATGTGTTCAAAGACTTAGGAGTAGCCCCTGACACATCCCTTTGTGTTAGTGAATCTTGCAGGAGTAGAGGCAGTAAAATTTGGGCATGCACCTGCATGGGCACGCTGGCGTTCCTTTTACCCAGGGGATGAAAACTAGAATTTGCAATTTATCTGTGATACATTTGAAGATATGCTTTAAATTCCTGAAAGGCTTTTCATGCCTAGTACTCAGTGAAAACAAATATAATGTAATATGTGAGTTGGTGTATGATTCCCCATAACTTCTGAATTCATGGCCTGAGTTAACTGAAATCTGACAGGACAGGAGAAGTTTTGCCAGTATGAAGTGTCAAATGGGAATTAAAAATGAACTTCTGTTGACAATATTCTGTTAGTGTGACTTACTGCCATTTGGCCCATGTCATAGCCTTGGCCTGGCACCCAAATTCTGACCTCAGTATGCCCTGAGCAAAAGGCTCTGTAAGCACCCTTGAGATAAATCCAGCCCTGATCATATAGGAGGGCTGATCAAGGTCTTGCCAGTGCCTCTCAAGCTGATTTCTCCAGCCTTGCCAGAGCACTACACCCAATTTCTCTGGTACAGTGCAGCCTGAGCTCTGCCTCTGTGATCTTGCCTACTCTTTCCTAGGCACCTTGCCTCTGCTTGGATGGAAGGCTCTACAAAGGAACTGCAGATGCAATGTCCTAGATATGACTGAAGGTTTCTGTAACTGATCAGTGCTAGCAAGGCATGGTGGGCACACAGGATAAAAAGTGAGAATGGAGCAGTCAGCAGATCTCTTAAATTGATGCTGGGCTCTGTGCTGGGATTCACAACTTGTTCCTTTCTGTGCCTTCCCATGCATTTCTGAGCCTCTTAGACTGAGGCTCTTCCTCTCTGCTTTCTTGCCAAGGGAAGGTTTCAGTGAAGAACCTGTAACAGCAATCCCAAAGTTCTCAGAGAATTAAGAAGGGCTGGCAGAATTACCTAGTGAATAAAGAAGGGAACTGTGCAACCGGAAGAGGACAAAGCACTATCAGCATCTCTGACTATGATCTAGAAGAGGAAAACAGGGCAGGCAAAACAAATGTAACATAAGCCATATCCACTGTACCAGCTCCACCTGTGATTTAACCAAGCACACTATCTTAGCCCTAGCATGGTCACACTCTTTTACCAAAGACCTGAAGCTGGCTTTTCTCTTTTAAAGTATGTCCTCCCACCATGACAAAAATTGTCATGTCTGCAGCCACTGATGGGCTTGCAGTTCCTGCCAGAGTCAAATGGTGCAGCTGTGAAAGAAGTAAATAGCAGTGAATCTTTAGTATCTGTATGAGCATTTTAGAAGTTACTGTTGAACTAAAGAATGGCCATTTGGAACTAGGGGGTTTTTTTGGCTTAGACAGAGGTTAAAAAAAAAGTCTGACAGTTCTATTCCAAAGTTCAAAGACAAATATTTTGTTGCAAAAGGTAGCTTTGCTCCCTCAGATCCATTAACTATTTCCAGTTGTACCCTGTGTTCTATTGAAATATTTGCTTACATGCACACTTACAGTCAGTGAGTGTAAGAATGATTAACCCTACTGTCTTGTAAAAACTTAATAACACCATTTAGATAATAGCAAAGGAACTAGTGTCCTCCCGACTCCAGCCTAAGGTCTACATAGTACTGTGTGAAAACATATGGCTAAATAAGGCCTTCTAGCTGATGCATGTACATTTAACATCCCAGCAGATCTACATTTTTCCTCCTGTATCAAGTAAAACATTTAAAGCAGAATACAATTGCTCGCCATGACTGACGTGACAGTACATGAGATCCTGTGTTACGTGTGTAGATGCAGAGGGACTTCTTACGTCCTTTGGCTGATGTCACTTTATGAGAATCTTTTCTTGCTTGCAAATGGATTAGGCAGTATGCTCCTATTAATAAAATGATTACTTGACTGATAGGATTGCCGCTTTCTCAGATCTTGATCTTATCCTTACCCATACTACTTTTTTGATATGAAATTGGTGCTTTTTTAAAATAACCTATACAGGATCACTAGAATTTGGGTTGCATGGTTGCATGCCATATAGTGTCTGGAAGCCATGCTGACTGCCGCATGTGACCACAGCAGGAACCTCACAAGCTGGTATTATTTACACACATTCTGCATGAGGAAGATCGGCTCAACTGTCAGGCTGTTACCGGGAGTGCTATAAATATAATTTTATAACACTGAAGACCAGACCAAAACTATTACAGGCATGTGACGAGGAAAATTCCTGACCCACGATAAATTCACTTGATGCTGTCAGAGTTGTTCAAAACAGCTTTGTATATCTGACCTAGGACCTGCTGGTGCAGCATCACATACCTATGATTGGTCCTTGGTAGCAAGCTCACAGACTTTTACATTCTTCTACCTTTTTTTTGCCCGCACCTCTTCTGATATCTCTGCCTTTAAGTCATGGTTTCTAGGCACCACTGAGTTCATTTGTGAATGTGCAGAAGACTATGTCCTTGTCATTTCATTTGAGTGCTTGCTAGACTGGGATTGTTCATCATTTGCTGTTGGGTATTTCTCAAGTGGAGTGGCAATCACTGTCCTGTCTGTGCCTGGCTTTTAAATGTTCCTCAGCTGGGCTTTTTCAGGGAGACTTGCCAGATAAGGCATTCCTGATCCTCAGTCATAACAAGCAACTACACTAAAGCACATTTACTGTCATCCTGGCACCAATGCCCTTATAAGCCCCAGGCCTGAGGCTGCTGTACTCCAAGACTGCTGCCTGCTGGTGAGGTGTCTTACCAGCCTTTGTCATGGTCTCAGTTCCAGACTCATTTGTATGTGCTTACTCTTGAGAGCAATAACTGTGCTGTGAACATGCAGAGCAGTGATGAGTACAGAGGGAAGCCGCTGGCTGTCACAAAATCTTGTTGTTGTCTTCCTTGGAAAGGCTTGCTTTGTCAGCCATCCTTTGCTGAGTCAAAGGTTATAGGCCCATGTTAACAGCTTTCCACTGCTGCCCTTTACTGGAGTAAGGTTTTTCCAGTATGGAGGGAAATTCTTTCCAGGTCCATAGGCAGCTACTGGATAGCTTGCCAAAGAGTTATGAGATAATCATGTTGTGCTTCTTATCCATGCCACTTTCAGCTTACTCCCATTCATGAACTTAATCTTTTGGGGAGGGCAGGGGTAAGCTAGCTTTGGCCGTCGACGCTCTGCACCACAGCCAGGTCTCCTCCAGTCACCACAGCTGTGGATACTGCTCCTTAGCCTACAACTACAGCTTCCCATCTGCTGCTTCTCTTCTGCCCTGGGTTGACCCTGCCCAGGAATATAGTTGCACACCCTGGAAAGAAAGCACACACACAGACATTGGACCAAATATCTTATCTACAGAGAAGAGAGCAATAAAAACACAGGCAGGGACTGTTTCCATTCTAGGTTATCTTCAGTCAAGTATTGAATCTCTGATAACATGTCAAGCTAACTTTATCAAACTTTATTGTAATGTACTGAACAAAATTTCCTGGGATAGGAAGCCCTGTGGCTGACCCGTCAGTAGGTCACAGCCCATTTAGGAACTCAAAGGTAACATGTAGGGTAACCATCAACAAAGCTATTCTATTGAAGAGAGTTTGTCTGGGCAAAACAGCCCTTCACCTTTCACCTTTCCAGAGGCTGCCTTCTCAGTAGTTACTGCTCCAGGCTTCCTCAGTGGCAACCAAAAAAACCCTACTAGATTGGTACTTCAGGTTTAAGCACAAGATCTTTAATGAATAACTATGAAATCAGCAGGCTCCTGCATTATTAATAAACAACATTTCCCCCTTCTGAATTCCGTGGAAGCTGGTAATACAGTTCTCATTCACACCAGAGCTGCTTCTACCATGTCCTTGGTCTGCTTGCTCTCGCTTCCTATGATCATTACAGGTATGGTAAATAGGCTCCCTTCCCTGAAATCCCCATATCCCAAAATAACCATGACCACTTGACCTTTTGCAGGTTCATGAACACTGATTCTTTCCTCCTGGCAGTTCCCATGCAAAACACAGCCTGTGCTTTTCACACATGCTTTGCAGACCAAAAACTTCATTCAGAGGCTTTTTCAAAGTTGCAAGGCCAAAGACTACTGCACACATACTAAAGAACTGGCATATTTTATCACTTTCGGGTTTATTTATTAGCATCAATACTTCTCTGCATTTGCTTCTCAGCTATATCAATTGTGTAAGCAGGGACTGAAAAATCTGCTTGTTTTACAATTATGCCACAGCTTCTGCACAGAAGCACAATGCTGAAGACTTCAGTCTATGCTGGGCCCATACGACACATAATTCACTCACCCTATAGCATGAATGAGTCAGCCCAGCAATACTGGGAGGATGCATTACAAAAC